GGGCTCCACCCCTAGAGTCTTATTCAGCAGCAATGGGGTGGAGGCCAGAAAATTGCATTTCTAACCACTTCCCAGGAAATGCCAGTGCAGCTGATCCTGGGGCCACACTCTGAGATCCACCGCTGTTGTAGACCCCCCAGAGGGTCTCCAGCCTTGCTTTCTGCCCCCATGATGTACTACTGGCTTAAGTGGAAAAGGTCTGCTCTCTCCTTCAGGGCATTCTGTGAATGAAGTTCTGTGTGTGACCTCTGTCTCTCCAAAGCCTCCCTTCAGCACAGGTGTTAAAAACAGGAGCATGAGGCTCTAATTCTTGCGCTCTTTCATTTCCTGATTATATTTTTCTGGCAAGGTCTGGACCCCAAGCATCGTATTGTCTTCTTTAAGTCCCAAACCAGAAGATACTTTCCTGGAGAACCAGGTGCCCCTTAGACCTGTGCTCAACCGTACTCGATCATGTTAATGTTAGAGAAAATCCAATATAAATCCCCTTGGTGTCAGGGGTTCTGCAAGGTTGCTATAATCGCCTGAAGCTTAAGAGACATTTTTAACCTCGTCTGTCTTCAGAAAGTCAGTTCCAGCTAGGCCAGGAGAAATTTATAAACCCTTGGGGTTCTCATTAGGGCATAAGAGCACATTTCCGGTAACTAAGGAGGAGCGCTGGAAGAAGTAACACATACTTACTGCTCCAACAGGACTATGCTTGGCCAGAATTTCCATTGTGATTTGTGTCTTTTCAAACTCAGAGTTACAGAGCTGACTCGATTTTTTTCTCTCCAGTACAGGCCCTGACTAGAAAGCAGTGAGCCCCCTTCCTCCAATTTCCCCAGAGTGACGCAGAGATTGCTGAAGACCGAGTTTATAGGCTGGTCCAGAAAGCTAGAGATACGGGAACCTGGCTTTCCTGAAAGATCCACTGCCAGGGCCCCTGAATGACAGCTCGCACATAGCTTTCATGACAATGAAGCTAAGAACTTAATCCCAAAAGTTCTGACACACTCTCACTGATATCTCATTGTAGTTTGGATTTGCATTTCTTTGATGATCAATGATGTTGAGCACATTTTCATATGCCTGTTTACCATTTGTATGTCTTCCTTTAAGAAATGTCTGTTCAGATCTTTTGCCCATTTTAAAAATTGGATTAAAAATCCGATTAAATCTAAAAAGTTAGATTTTTACTACAGAGTTGTTTAAGCTCCTTATATATTCTGGTTGTTATCCCCTTGTCACATGGATAGTTTGCAAATATTTTCTCCCATTCTGTGGGTTGTCTCTTCGCTTTGGTGATTGTTCCCTTTGCTCAGCAGAAGGTTTCTAACTTGACGTGATTCCATTTGTTCATGTTTGCTTTGGTACCCTGTGCTTGTGGGGTATCAGTCAAGAAATTTTTGTCCAGATCAATGTCCTGGAGAGTCTCCCCAATGTTTTCTTGCAGAAGTTTCATAGTTTGAGGTCTTAGATTTAAGTCTTTAATCCATTTTGATTTGATTTTTGTATATGGCAAGAGACAGGGGTCTAGATTCATTCTTCTGCATATGGATATCTGGTTTTCCCAGCACAATTTATTAAAGAGACTGTCTTTGCCCCACTGTAAATTCTTGGCATCTTTGTTGGAAATGAGTTCACTGTAGGTGTATGGATTAGTTTCTGGGTTCTCTATCCTCTTCCATTGGTTTATGTATCTGTACCATGCTGTTTTGGTTACTATACCTCTGTAGTATACTTTGAAGGCAGGTAATGTGATTCCTCCAGTTTTGTTCTTTTTTCTTAGGACAGCTTTGGCTATTTTGGGTAATTTGTAATTCCATAGAAATGTTTGGATTGTTTTTTCTATTTCTGTGAAGAATGTCATTGGTTTGTTTTTTTGTTTTTGTTTTGTTTTTTATAGGGATTGCACTGAATCTCTCGACTGCTTTGGGTAACATGGACATGTTAACAACATTGATTATTCCAATCTATGAACATGGAATATCTTTTCATTTTTTTGGTGTCCTCTTCAATTTATTTCATCAGTGTTTTATAATAATCTTTTACTTCTTTGGTTAATTGTTAGGTATTTAATTTTATTTGTAGCTATTGTATGTGGAATTACTTTCTTGATTTCTTTTTCAGATTGTTCACTGCTGGCATATAGAAATGCTACTAAGTTTTGGATTTTGATTTTGTATTCTGCAACCTTACTTGATTTGTTTATCTGTTCTAATAGTTTTTTGGTGGAGTCTTTAGGTTTTTCCAAATATAAAATTACATCATCTGCAAACAAGGATAATTTAACTCCTTTCTTTCCCTCCATTTCTTTCTCTTGTCTGACTGCTCTAGCTAGAAATTTTAGTACTAAGTTGAATAACAGTGGTGAAAGTGGGTATCCTTGTCGTGTTCCAGATCTTAGAGGAAAGACTTTCAGTTTTTCCCCATTTAATATGATACTAGCTGTGGGTCTTTCATACATGGCTTTTACTATGTTGGGGTATGCTTCTTCTATACCCAGTTTCATAAGGGTTTTTATCACGAAGGGATTTGAACTTTATCAAATGCTTTTACGGTATCCATTGAAATGATCATATGGTTTTTGTCCGTCATTCTGTTGATATGATGTATCACATTGATTGATTTGCATATGTTGAACTATCCTTGCATCCCAGGGATAAATCTCACTTGATCATAGTGAATAATATTTTTAATGTATTGTTGAATTTCGTTTGCTAGTATTTTGTCGAGGAGTTTTGCAACAATATTCATCAGAGATATTGGCCTGTAGTTGTTGTCGTTGTTGTTTTTGTGTGTCTTTCTCTGGTTTTAGCATCAAGGTAATACTGGCCTCATAGAATGAGTTTGGAAGTATTTCCTTCTGCTATATTTTCCAGAATAGTGTGAGTAGGATGGGTGTTAGTTCTTCTTTAAAATGTTTGGTAGAATTCAGCAGTGAAGCCATCAATTCAGGGCTTTTCTTTGCTTGGAGACTTTTTATTACGGCTTCTATCTCATTACTTGTTATTGGTCCGTTTAGCTTTTGAATTTCCTCATGGTTCAATCTTGGTAGGTTGTATGTATCTAGTAATTTGTCAATTTCTTCTAGATTTTCCAATTTATTGGCATATAGTTGCTCATGGTAGCCATTAATGATCCTGTGACTTTCTGCAGTGTCAGTTGTAATGTCTTTTTCTCAGTTCTGATTTTGCTTATTTGGGTCTTCTCTCTTTTTTCTTAGCCTGGTTAAAGGTTTGTCGATTTTGTTTAACTGTTAAAAAAAACCAACTTTTTGTTTCATTGATGTTTTGTATTGTTTTCTTCTTTTCAATTTCATTTATTCTGTTCTGATCTTTATTATTTCTTTTCTTCTACTATTTTTGTGTTTGTTTGCTCTTGCTATTCTGGTTCTTTAACATGCATTGTTAGGTGGTTTATTTGACATTTTTCCTCTTTTTCTTTTTTGATGTAGGCACTTGTAGCTATAAAGTTGCCTCTTAGTACTGCTTTTGCTGTATCCCATAGGTTTTGATGTGTTGTGTTTCCATTATCGTTTGTTTCAAGAAATTGTTTAATTTCCTTCTTAATTTCTTCACTGACCCACTGGTCATTCAGGAGCATATTGTTTAATTTCCGTGTGTTTGTATAGTTTCCAAAATTCCTCATTATTGAGTTCTATTTTTGTTCCATTATGGTCAGAGAAGATGCTTGATATTATTTTATTTTATTTTTTTTTATTTTTTTATTTTTTTGAGACGGAGTCTCACTCTGTCACCCAGGCTGGACTGCAATGATGTGCCACCGTGCCCAGCTATTTTTTGTATTTTTAGTAGAGATGGAATTTTGCCATGTTGACCAGGCTGGTCTCAAACTCCTGACCTCAGGTGATCCGCCCGCCTTGGCCTCCCAAAGTGCTGGGATTACGGGCATGAGTCACCACAGTTTGAATGTTTTAAGACTTGTTTTGTAACCAAATGTATGGTCTATACTTAAGAATGATCAATGTACTGAGGAAAAGAATGTGTATTCTGCAGCTGTTGGATGAAATGTTCTGTAAGTATCTAGTAAGTCCATTTGATCTATAGTGCAGATTAAGTCTGATGTTTCTTTGTTGAGTTTCTGTCTGGAAGATCTGTCCAATGCTGAAAGTGGGGTGTGCTTAATTTCTGCTTAATTCTTTGTAATCATTTCAATCTCTTTGTTAAATTTGTCTGATGGAATTCTGAATTCTTTTTCTGTGTTATCCTGAATTTGAGTTTTCTCAAAATAACTATCTTGAATTCTCTGCGAGGTCACTTATCTCTGTTTCTCCAGGATTGGTCCCTGGTGCCTTATTTAGTTCTTTAGGTGAGGTCTTGCTTTCCTGAATTGTCTTGATACTTGTAGATGTTTGTCTGTGTCTGGACATTGAGAAGTTAGGTATTTATTATAGTCTTCACAGTCTGAACTTGTTTGTACTCATCCTTCTTGGAAAGGAAGGCATTCCATATATTCGAAAGGACTTAGTTGTTGTGAGGGGTCTATCTGAAGCCCACTAATGCTGTGGTCCTTGCAGACTCATAGATTTACTGCCTTGGCAGTCTTGGAGAAGATCCAGAATTCTCTGGATTACCAGGCAGAGACTCTTGTTCTCTTCCCTTACTTTCTCCCAAATAAACAGAGGGTCTTTCTCTGTTCTGACCCACCTGAAGCTGGGTGTAGAGTGACACAAGAATCCCTGTGGCCACCACCACTAGTACTGTGTTTGGACAAACCTGAAGCCAGCATAGTGCTGAATCTCACCCAAGTCTTGCTGTAACCACTCCCTGGGTACTGCCTATGTTCATTCAAGGCCCTAGGGCTCTACAATCAGCAGGTGGCAAAGCCAGTCAAGCCTGTGTCTTTTCCTTTAGGGTGGTGACTTCTTCCAGGCCCTGGGCAGGTATGGAGGTACTATGCAGGAGCCAGGAATTAGAGTCAAAAACCACAGAAGTCTACCCGGTGTTTTATTGTACTGTGGCTGAGCTGTCACTCAAACTACAAGACACAGTCCTTCCCACTCTTCCCTCCCCTTTCCACAGTCAAAGGAGCCTCACCTTGTGGCCACAGGCCCGCAGAGAGTATTGCCAAGCTATCACCAACGTTCCCTCAAGGTCCAAGGGTTCTTCAGTCAGTTAGTGGTGAATGCTGCCTGGCCTGGGACTTACTCTTCAGAGATAGGAAAAAGACTGTTTTTAGTGCTCACCTGATTTTTGGCTCTTATCAAGGATTTTTTTGTGTGTGTATAAATAGTTTTTAAAATTGTGTTCTTACTTGGAGGACAATGGGTGGAGCCTTCTATTCTGCCATCTTGCTCTGTCCCCTGGAAGTTACTCTTACTCTTCCAAAGTCAGATCCTGTTAATTATTGGTTTGCTCCAAATACGTACCTGATATATGGTACCTGCTCCAAATACGTACCTGATATATGGGGACCTCTTGTCTTTTCCAAGAGTGTGGAAATGGTACATGCCATTCTGGTTTAAATTTTGTTTGGAGTGCAAATCATAAAACTTCTAAGTTGTTCTCAGCTGACAGTCTGGAGTGGTAACAATAGGGCACCACTGGAGCCAGAGAGCACTGAGTTAGAATCCTGGCTTTGCCCCTAACCAGCCCTGTGACTGTGAGGACATTGGTTAACCCCTCTGGGCCATCCCTTCCTTATCTGTCATTTGAGAATTAAAAGGGGTAATGAAGTTGCCTGACTCAAAGACAGTACTCAATAAATGTTATTCACATACATAACCATAAATTAAATGTTATTAATATTGTTATATGCCTGTTCCATACAGGTATTCCTAAAAGGAAACGTTTAGCTCTTCCATTCCAGCAATTTAGTCTCTTAGTTCCATTTTAGTCTCCCAGGAAGTAGGCAAAACTGAGAATACTCTTTCCCATTTTACACATAAGGAAACAGAAACTTGGGAACATAAAATATCTATCTCAAGATCGTATCGTGACTGAATGCAAAGCTGGTACTCTCTCCTTGTCCCATCCTTATCTTTCCCCATTTCAGGGTTTTCAAGAGACAGAGGGAGTTTCAAAGGGACACTAAGGGCTCAGTTTCTGTTTCATACATGATTCCAGGTCTCTTTGCAGAGAGTTTGAGCATCAAGTAGTGACAGGTAAAAGCTGATTGCTGATCAACCCCTACCAACCCCCAATACACATGCATACACACTAATATACATACACACTAGGAGCTGTGAGATGGCTGACAATGGCCAACACTGGGAGAGAAGCTATTTTTGGAGATTTTTAGGGTTCTCTCAGGAGTGGCTGGCAGAAGCTCCGTGTGTGTGTGTGTGTGTGTGTGTGTGTGTGGGTATACATGTGCGCATATGTGTGTGTTGGGGAATTAGGGGGTGTCTGTTTCAGAGGGAATACTACTCCAGCCAACTAAGCAGAATTTGAAATAATTTCTGCTCAACTCCTAACTGGTGTTGCTCCCATCACTCCTCCACACCTACTTTAAAAAGCAGCCTTTTAAATCTGAATTTAACTGTGTTGCTCTCTGACTGAATAATCTCCATCGGCCACTCATCACCTTTAGGATGAAGCCCAGGCCTAAAGCCCAGCACAAAGACCTGCATGATGTGCTCACTTCCAACCAGAAGGTGGGAGGCAGTTGTTGCCCAGCAGACACGCAGTTCTCCTTGTGCTCCAGCCGTGTGGAGCCACATGTGCCCTTGTCTATATACCCTAGGCCTTTGCACAGTTGGATCATTCTGTCTGTCCCATCCTCTCCCTCTCCCTCACCCTCTCCCCTCAAAGATGATCTAGTGGTGTTTCCCTCCGGGGTTTTTCCTGGACCTTCTTTTGTGCTTAGGCTGACCTTCTCCTTCTCTATTGCAGTGATCCACTCTCATTTCTCCTGAACTAAACCGTTTACTGAAGGGTGAGGGCTATATCTGAGTCCCATCTTGATTTCCCAGTTTATAGCACAGGGCCTGGCCCCAGTAGGCATCTGTACAAGCTTATTTAATAAACAAAAGAATGAATGGATGGTTTGGAGCTCTGAAGGCATCTTTCCACAGAAACAGTGTTGAAAGTGACTCTGTGTTCCCTGTAGGCTACTGACTGTGGATGACCTCTGACCTTTGTGAGACTGTAACAGCTTGGCTCCTCCATCCCCATGGAGGAGTAGCAGTGAGGACTGGAGCCGTGATCTCAACTCCAGGCATGGACTTGATGGGCTGGAAGTAATCCCTATGGCCTGGGCCCTATGATGAGTTTCAGACCAGTGAGGGACCCATTTTAAGTCAATGAGACTCAAGGAGAGGGTGGTTGAAGGGTCTGTAGTAGTTCTTGGAGGAGGCAGAAAGACAGGTGGCTCCTGACAGCCATCTCAAGCACTGGAGGAGATCCAGGTGTAAGATGAAGCTGGCTCTGCAGAAAGGCAGAGAGGAAATGCAGAGAGAGCCTGGGTCCCTGGTGAACATGAGAAACTACTAGATGAATTCGTCAGACTGCTCATTTCTAATTTCAGTCATGTGTGTCAGTAAGATTTCTTGTTTTGGGAGTCACTTTGAGCTGGATTTTCTGTCACCTGCAGCTGGAAGCAGGACTGATCTTTGTGAAGCTAACTAAATATACGTTTGAGGTCCCTTCTCTTACACAGGCTTCTTCCAAGGCCCTGGGACCCAGGGTGCCATGTGTTTGTAAACGTGCAAAAACAAGATATTTTAATCGCAACCCATGAAAACCCCCACGTCTCTCTACTCGGATGCCTGCTCTGTCACACTGCCCTTACGGTGGGATGCAGTTGCAGTAGTCACAGGTGGTTCCGGAATCTGGCCAAGGTGGGGATGAACTGGTCACTCATGCTGTTGGGTGTGGAGGGATGTGGTTCACCATCACTTTGGGGCTTAGCTAAGTTATGCTGGATGTCCCAGGGTAAGAATGACTTTCGAGAATTTGATTGCCACCCACACAGCTGACTCACCTGGCACTGTGTCTGGGAGGTGCGGGGCCACAGGTTGTCATACGATGTGAAACACAAGCCACAGCACTCACAATGGAACTGCATGATGGAAGGAGGAAAAACAAGATTTGAAGTACATTCTGAGGAAATTTCCTCCAGTTACTAGACACATGAAATTGTGAGTGAAGGATTCTGTTTTACTCAATGCCTCATCACAATGAATGTTATCTCTTGTCAGATGTGATGGTGTTGGCCTTCTGGTGTGCCACCATGATGATTATGTGAATGGCAAACTGGTTAATGAGCATCTTCAACCCAAAGCATAGTTAAAGATGGGTCACTGCATAAGAAAACACAAAACCCTGAAACCTGTCGGCTTCAGAGAAGACTCCTAAATTTGATCATAGTCCTTAAAATGTACAGGACCTTATCAGTGATGAGTTGTGAAGCTACAAGAAACTTTAAAAAAACTATTGATAATGAAAAATAATTGATGAACCATGGTAGAAGAAAGTCCAAATTATCCATCTGTTGGCTTTGGAGAAAAATAACGTTATAAACTTAGTGCCATGTCAGGAAGTAATCCAAGAGAATGCAGCCAAAAAAAAAAATCAGGGAAAAAGGTATTTTTAGAGGGGGCAGTTATCTCAAAGTGCTGAGATTATAGGTGTGAGTGGCCCAAGCTAACTATTTATTGATTAAATGGGCCCTTCGTCCTTCAGACCACAGCTTCCCCACCTACAAAAGTCCAGTTGGCACATGGGGTGTCAATGCACTCCTTGTGGAGGGCATGGGCCAACCATGGCATCTGCAACCCTTTTTAAGTTGTTTTTTTATCAAAGACCAAAGCGATACTTATCAAACAACACTGCCTATGACAATCTTTGCCCCTGCTTGTGACAATGCAGGTTGCTAGGCCTATACTCCTAGATATTTGAGTTCAGCACATCCAGGGTGTGAGCTAAGCAACTGCACCTTAGATAAGCCTTTTAGGTAGTAATGGTACAGGTATTCCCAGACACTGGAAAAGAGATTGCACCCAGAAATTCCACCTTTTGAAATTTATCATAAAGGCAAGCGCACAAAGGAAATTTAAGAGAATTGTCATTCCAGTGTTAAAAATAGAAACATTGAGGGGGGAAATTATATATTGATTAAGTAAAATTTTGTATCTCTGTATAATAAAATGCTAGGTAGCCATCAAAAATGTTATTGTGGATTGCGATTGAACTGGAAAGGTGTTTAGCACATATATATTTATTAATATTAACATATATATGTATTAATAACAACATTTTTATTTTGAAATCTATTTAGATTTATAGTGCAGTTGCAAAGATGGCACGGAGAGTTCTAGTATACCTTTCATGCAAGCTTCCCTCAATATTAACGTCTTGCATAACCATGATTTATCAAAGCTAAGATATCAGTAACCATATAATTTTATTTATTAAACTATCAACTTCACTCAAATTTTACCAGTCTTCCATAAGGCTCTTTTTCTGTTCCAGGATCCAGTCTGGGATATCACATTGCATTTAGTTGTCATGTCTCCTTAGCATTCTCCAATCTGTGGCTGTTTCTGTCTTTTCTTGTTTTCGTGACCTTGACACTTTTGAAGAAGACTGACCAGATGTTTTGGAGGCTGTCTCTCAGTTGGGGTTTGTCTGATATGTTTTCAAGATTAGACAGAGTTACAGGTATTGGTGAAGAACATTGCCACTGAGGCGAAGTGCCCATCTCACTGCATCGCAGCAGGGAGCACGTGATATTAACATGACTTATCGGTGGTGATTTTAACCTGATCACTTGGTTACAGTGGTGTTTGCCAGATTTTTCTACTATAAAATTATTATTTTTTTCTTTTATATATGTGAGAAGTAAGCCACTAAGCCCAGTCCATATTTGAGGGAAAGAGAATTAAACTTCACCTTCTGAAGGGAGGAGTATAAAATAATTTGTGAACATACAATATACATTTTCAAGGGTTAAAAGGTGAGTTACAAAACAGTAATATATCATGTGATCCCATTTTTGTAGAAAAAAATATTTTTATGTGTTCACAAAATTTTATAAGAAAATAAACTACAACATTAACAGCAGCTACCTATGGGTGATGGGATAGTAGGCAGTTTTTTCTCCTTCATCTTACTGATCTAATTTTTCTAATGAATTTTCATTATGAATAGGTATAACTTGTATCATAAAAAGTTGAAGAAAACAAAAAGACAAAAGGCAACATTTAAGACTTGGTCATGATTGAAGCAGGGAGGCAGAGTTAGTGCAATGGATAATCCAGTCAAGAGATCAGATGATTTCAAAAGGCTGGAGTCTTGGGTTAAAACCAAAACAGTGAAAATTTCCAGGGAGAAATGCATGACACAACATTTAATTCAAAACCCGAGGGCACAGGCACAGGATGGAGTGGTGGGAAGTACTGGTGGGCACCAAACACTCTATGAGATCAAGCCCTGGATTGTTTATTTTCTGAAACCACAGATTCAGTCTTAGCTTATAAGATGTCTGAGTGCTAACACTGTTCATGTAGAAATGGAGTGAGTGTCCAGCTCAAGGGGAGTAGTAGTCCCTGTCACAAGTGCTGTTAGTTCTCTCTCCATGTTCTCTCTCCACTCACGGTCCCCTTAAGGCCAGCAACTTCTTAATGCAAGAAGGGCTCAAGCGATCGTCTTGCCTCAGGCTCTCAAAGTACTGGGATTATAGGTGTGAGCCACTGTGCCTGGCACAAACTATTGATTGACTGACTGGGGTCTTTGTCCTTCAGACCACAGCTTCCCCATCTGTCTACCTGTGACTTCTCTGACCTCAGGGCTGTGTTTGGCCTGTGCTTGGGGCAGGCCAGGGTGCCAGGAAGTTAACACCTGCTTAGTCCATTTGTGTCGCTATAAAGGAATACCTGAGCCTGAGTAATATACAAAGAAAAAAAGTTCATTCAGCTCACCGTTCTGCAGGCTGTACAAGAAGCATGCTGCCGGCATCTACTTCTGGTGAGGGCTTCAGGCTATTTCCACACATGGTGGAAGGCAAAGGGGAGCCGTCATGTGCAGAGATCACATGCTGAGAGAGGGAGAGAGACAGAGAGAGAGAAAGAAGAAGAAGGAGGAGGAGGAGGAGGAAGGGAAGAGGGAGAAGAGGGGGGAGGAGGGAGGAGAAGGAGGTGGAGGAGGAGAAGAGGTGAAGGAGGAGGAGGAAGAGGAGGGAGGGAGGAGGAGGGAGGAAGGAGGAGGCTCTTTAACAACCAGCTCTCACTCCTGGGAGAATGGCCCCAAGTCATTCATGAGGGATCTACCTCCATGACCCAAACACTTCCCACCAGTCCCCACCTCCTACGCTGGGGATCAAATTTTAACATAAGACTTGGCAGAGCCAGACAAACCATATTCAAATCATAACAACACCCTTGGAGCAGCTTCGACCAATAGACAGATGGCAGTTGGGAACTAACTACCCAGCCTCGTTCTCCTTCACTGGGGCTGCTCTATGGCATGCTCTTCAGGGTCTCCCAGAATTCCCTGGGAGGGAGCCCCAGTTGCCCATGGTGATAACCTACTCATTTACCACTCTGCATCAGTTTTTCTCCCCTACCTACCGTACTGGTATCTCCTGAGATCACCTCCCAGATAAATCCTTTTTTTCCTGGTAAAACAAGAATTTATTTTGACACACAAAATAAATAAACCTAAATATATAATTGTGGTTTTCTGGTTTGTTTTTTACAATATTTACTTATTTATTTTTATAATTTTAACTTTTATTTTAGATTCGGGGGTACATGTGCATGCAGGTTTGTTACCTGGGTATATCGCATGATGCTGAAGTTTGAGGTACAATTGATCTCATCACCCAGGTATTAAGTATAGGACCCAATAGTTTTTCAACCTTTGCCTCCTTCCCTCCTCCCTCTAGTAGCCCCCAGTATTTATTTTTCCTATCTGTATGTCCATGAGTACCCATTGTTTAGCTCCTACTTAAAAGCAAGAATATGTGGTATTTGGTTTTCAGTTCCTGCCTTAATTCACTTGGAATAATGGTCTCCAGCTGCATCCATGCTGCTGCAAAGGACATGATTTTGTTCCTTTATACGGCTGCATAGTATACCATGGTATGTATGTACCACATTGTCTTTATCCAATCCACTATTGATGGGCACCTGGGTTGATTCCATGTCTTTGTGATTGTGAATAGTTCTGTGATTAATATGCAAATGCATGTGCCTTCTTAATAGAGAAATTTATCTTCTTTTGGATGAATACCCACTAATGGGATTGCTGAAGTGAATAGTAGCTCTGATTTATGTTCTTTGAGAAATCTTCAAACTGCTTTCCCCAGTGGCTGAACTAATTTATATTCCCACCAACAGTGTTTAAGCATACCCTTTTCTCCGCACCCTCACCAGTATTCATTGGTTTTGACTTTTTAATAATAGCCATTCTGACTGCTGTGAGATGATATTTCATTGTGGTTATGATTTGCATCTTTCTGATGATTAGTAATGTTGAGCATTTTTTCATATGTTTGTTAGCTATTTATATGTCTTCTTTGGAGAATTGTCTGTTTATGTCTTTTCGCCATTTTTTAATGGAGTTCTTTGTTTTTGCTGTCAATTGTTTAAGTTCCTTGTAGATTCTGGATATTAGCCCTTTGTTGGATGCATAGTTTGTGACTGTTTTCTCCCATTTTGTAGGTTTCCATTTACTCTGTGGATAGTTCCTTTTGCTATGCAGAAGCTCTTTATTTATGTCCCATTTGTTAATTCTGTTTTTGTTGCAATTGTTTTGAGGACTTAATCATAAATTCTTTTCCAAGGCTGGTGTCAAAAATGGTGTTTCCTAGGTTTTCCTCTAGGATTATTATAGTTTGAGGTCTACATTTAAATATTTAGTTCATCTTGAGTTAATTTTGGTATATGGTGAAAGGTAAGTGCCCAGTTTTATTCTTTCGCATTTGGCTAGAGAGCTATCACAGCACAATTTGTTGAATAGGGAGTTCTTTCCCCATTGCTTATTTTTGTTGGCTTTGTTGAAGATCAGTTGACTGTAGGTGTGTGGCTTTATTTTTGAGTTCTCTATTCTGTTCCATTGGTCTATGTGTCTGTTTTTGTACCAGTACCATGCTGTTTTGGTTACTGTGGCCTTACAATATAGTTTGAAGTCAGGTAACGTGATGCCTCTGGCTTTGTTCTTTTTGCTTAGGTTTGCTTTGGCTCTTTGGGCTCTTTTTTTTTTTTTTTTTTAATTCCATATGAATTTCAGGATTTTTTTTTTTTCTAGTTCTGTGAAGAATGATGTTGGTATCTTGATAGGAACAGCACTGAATCTGCAGATTGCTTTGGGCAGTATGGTCATTTTAGCAATAATGATTCTTCTAATCCAGGAGCATGGAATGTTTTTACATTTGTTTGTGTCATCTATGATTTCCTTCAGCAGTGTTTTGTAGTTTTCCTTGTAGAGATCTTTCACTTTCTTGATTAGATGTATTCCTAGATAACTTTTTTTATGGCTATTGTAAATGGGATTGTGTTCTGGCTTTGACTCTCACCTTGAATGTTATTGGTATATAGAAATGTTACTAGTTTTTGTACATTGATTTTGTATCCTGAAACTTTACTAAATTCATTTATCAGTTCCAGGAGCCTTTTGGCAGAGTCTTTAGGGTTTTCTAGATAAAGAATCATATCACCAGTGAAGAGAGATAGTTTGACTTCTTCCTTTCCTACTTGGAAGCCTTTTTTTCCTTTCTCTTTCCTGATTGCTCTGGCAGGGACTTCCAGTATTATGCTGAATACGAGTAGTGAGAGTGGCCATCGTTATCTTATTCCAGTTTTTGAGGGGAATGCTTTTCGTTTTCACCCTTTCAGTATCAATCCTTGTCTCAGATTCTGTTGCTGGGGATCCCAGCCTAAGGCAGTCCCATTGTTTCTGGAGATCAGGTTCAACTCTGTGCACTGTGTTCATATTGTTCCCAGGAGGGGACTGTCATAGTCTGAGTCTTGCAGCCAAGTCAGAGGGCTTAAAACTGGATACGCCAGCGACGTTTAACTTAGGGGAGAGTTTGAAGAGGTGGGCGAGTTGTCTTCAGATGCTTGGAACATCCCTCAATAAAAAGAGGATGTATTTTCTCTACTCCAGAATGTAGCAGCACTGATATGAACCTTACACAGTAATAATGAGTGTTCCCACCAAGGTATTGGCTTCTTTTTTAAAAAACTTTAATTTTAGGTTCAAGGGTACATGTGCAGGTTTGTTATATAGGTAAATTGTGTGTCACAGAGGTTTGGTGTACACATTATTTTACTACCTAGGTAATAAGCATAGACTCTGATAGATAGTTTTCCTATCCTCTCCCTCCTCCCATCCCCTATCCTCAAGTTGGCTCCATTGTCTCTTGTTCCCTTCTCTGTGTCCATGTATACTCAATGTTTAGCTCCCACTTATAAGTGAGAACGTGCAGTATTTGTTTTTCTGTTCGTGTGCAGCTATTGGCTTCTTTAGGTTGGGGTTGAGTTTCAGTCAACTTGCCATCCTCAGTAACCAGCATAGTGGCTGTCAAAAAGCAAAGAATGGTAGGAAGCATTTGGGGGTTCCTGACCAGCATTTATTCCCACCTTCTCTTATCAATGGTGTTCTCATTTTCCTTTAGAGAATTTACCCCTCTTTCATTTCAAGTCTTCTTTTCTTTAAACTTTTATTTTAGGCTCAAGGGTTTGTTATATAGGTAAATTGTGTGTCACAGAGATTTGGTGTACACATTATTTTACCACCCAGGTAATAAGCATAAAATCTGACAGATAGTTTTCCCATCCTCTCCCTCCTCCCGCCCCCCTACCCTCAAGTTGGCTCCTCAAGCTGTCTCTTGTTCCCTTCTCTGTCTCCATAGCCCATCTCTCTGATTGCAGTTATTGGTTCAGAGATGGGCACATGACCCAGTGTGAGCCAATAAGAGAAAGTCTTAGGCGATGTGAGAGGCGCTAGCAACAGAGTTGCTTAGTTCTCCTGGAGGATGAGGTAAGAGGCCTGGTCTGCAGCAGCCGTTTTGCTCACAACCTCATTGAACCAGGAGGGCCAGGAGAGCTCAAAGATGAGTGGAAAAACAACATGGAGGCCAGGCGCGGTGCGCGGTGGCTCACGCCTGTAATCCCAGAACTTTAGGAGGCCGAGGCGGGTGGATCGTCTGAGCTCAGCAGTTCTCTGGCCGACATGACGAAACCCCATTTCTACTAAAAATACTAAAAATGGTGGCGTGTGCCTGTAGTCCCAGCTACTCGGGAGGCTGAGGCAAGAGAATTGCTTGAACCCAGGAGGCAGAGGTTGTAGTGAGCCGAGATCACACCACTGCTCTCCAGCCTGGGTGGCAGAGTGAGACTCCATCTCAAAAACTAAAACTAAAAATAAACAAAAATTTAAAAAAACGTGGAAGACAGAGTGGAAGGAGAGCACCACCTGGTCTTTTGTGGAATTTTTGAACTCTGGAACAAGCCTCACTTGAAGCCATTTTTTTCCTAGTAATACCTTTTATAGGGTAAGTCAATTTGAGTGGGTTTTCTGTCACTTGTAATATTATGTCATAACTAAATCTATGCTCAACACAGGTTTGCTGGTGAATACATTGTATAAAAATGGAGCAGATTTCAGGTAGGTATAAAGAAGGGTTTGTTAAAACTCAGAGCTCTGAAATACAGTACAGAATGCCCTCTGAGGTAATACATTTTATATTTCCAAAGGAAGAAGCACAGGCTGCATCACCATCCTGTCAGGGGTGCTGAAGAAGGAATCCCTGTGGGTGGGAGATGGGTCTGTATGAATAGGAAATAGAACCTTTCCCACTTTTAACATTCTGTCATCATATAAATCTAGCAAGACTCTACAGAAGACAGAAAGCCAGAAAGGATATCTTTAAGAGGAACCACAGTTTGAAGGTGCTAGTATAATATAAAATTATGACTGGAAGTGATTTGGGGCCTAGCTGTTCCCTGTTACTCTACA